TCATTTAATCAAAACACACACACACACACAATGAATAGTAAAACCTAAGTACCATTCACATTACAGTGCCTTGCCCATACAAAACATGGGACTGGAGGGAATTTGCTCATCATTGGGGTATGTTACAAAATAAACACTTTAATATCTATATTTGCTGATGTGAACGATGGCAGTGTGAAATCAGAATAGGATATGTATGCATTGGACGAGACCTTACGATACGACTCTCTAGATCTCAAACACAGGCATGGCGCATCGTCTGTGACACTGACTCAAGGAGGGTGTGGCTGCTGGACAAAGACATGTGATTGGTTCTTAGGTCTGTCAGTCAAACTCTCTGCCTCAGTCCCCTCCCACCTCTGTCCTAAGGGCCTCCGCTGTACGAATAATCTGCTTTGTTGTGCATGACCAGCTTGTTGTCCACAAAGTAGAAGCTGTCAGACTGCGTCTCGTAAGGTTGGAGGATCATCTCCCGTACTGAAATAAAGAGAAAACACATAAAGTGATACACAAACAACAATTAAGCTTTTTAAAAGCTACAGGATTTTCCTTTCATAGATGCTGGTAGGTCAATGACATGTTCGTTTCTTTCTGGGTCTATTACTACATTCAAAAATACATAAAAAATGCAATATATTAATTCAGTGCCTTCAATATATCTCTTTCTCTTAATGTATTTTTGTATATATTAATAGACCATTATATGAGGAACTTGCTTTGAATATCTTGCATGTTTTGTGCTATATTCATTATTGGGTTAAAAAGGGGAAATAAATAAATAAAGGACCTTATTAAAAAAAAATTTTAAAAAATTCCTGATATAAACAATGCAATAAAAATGTTAAGTATGCAATTCATAATTATCCTATTATGATTTAATTTAGTGAAGCAGTTTTGTTAAAATATTAATCTATATATATTTTAAATTGTCCACCAAATTAATGTTGTGCAACCAACATGCAGGTACAGTACAAGACCAAACTATCTTTTTGTATGTTGTTTATAAAGACAGGAAGAGAATTCAAATAAACTTCTTGCATTTCCATCAGATGGGGTCAGTAAGATAAAAAAAAGAAAAGAAATTAATACTTTACTCAAAAGTAACAGTAAAAATATTTATAATGTTACAAAAGATTTCCATTTCAAATAAATGCTGTTCTTAAATTAAATTTTTATTAAATTAAACTTAAAATTTCTGTTCAAAGAATCCTGAAAAAAACATATCATGAAACTTTTTCTTTGATAAGAAATGTTACTCGAACCTCAAATATTAGAATGATTTCTGAAGGATCACGTGACACTGAAGACTGGAGTAATAATGCTGAAAATTCAGCTTTGCATGACAGGAATAATTTTTGACAATATTACGTTTTTGTTGCATTTTTGATCAAATAAATGGGTAATTAGAGGCTTCTTTCAAAAACAAAAAAGTCCAACCCCATAAAGGGTTAGTTCACCCAAAAATGAAAATTCTGTCATTAATTACTCACCCTCATGTTGTTCCAAACCCGTGAGACCTTCATTCATCTTCGGAACACAAATTAAGATATTTTTGATTAATTCTGAGAGCTCTATGACCCTCCCATAGACAGCAAGGTAACTACCACGTTCAAGGTCCAGAAAAGTACCAAGATGATCGACACTTGTGGACGCGCGTTCACGACAATATCATGACGCGAGCGTGTGGCGGTGCTGACCCAGATCCGGCATAATGATGTCATCACACCGGATCTGGGTCAGCGCCGGCGCCGCCACTTGCTCGCGTCATGGTACTGTCGTGAACTTGCGACCAAAGTGACGCAGTAGAGACGAAAATGTGGAATAAAGTAGTTATTTTTGTTTTCTGTGCGCAAAAAAGTATTCTCGTAGCTTCGTAACTTTACAGTTGAACCACTGATGTCACACGGACTACTTTGTCGATCATCTTGGTACTTTTCTGGACCTTGAACGTGGTAGTTACCTTGCTGTCTATGGGAGGGTCAGAGAGCCCTCATATTTCATCAAAAATTTCTTAAAGTGTGTTCCGAAGATGAACGAAGGTCTTACGGGTTTCGAACAACACGAGGGTGAGTAATTAATGACAGAATTTTCATTTTTGGGTGAACTATCCCTTTAACAACCGAGTTTTGAGCGGTATATCTAATGGTCTTTACTGATTTTTATTGCCATACCAGCTATAGCTATTTTCATGGCAAGATCAATGTATTTTAAAAGAAACAATAGTAACAGAGAAGTAATGAAAAACAACAATTGACAACCAACTCGCATCAATATAACAAACAAACAAACAAAAGATTTTCATTTCAATATTTGATAAAGTTTAAGATTATTCCTGGTGAAAATTTTTTTAAAACACCCATTAGAGAACTTTGAGTAAAATGTTGCCAAGTGACATTTAAAGCTGTACATTCTAACAAAATATGCGGTCCCACTTTATATTAGGTGGCCTTAGCTACTATGTATTGACATCAAAAAAATAAGTACAATGTACTTATTGTGTTCATACTGTATTGCAAAACACTTTTGCTGCTATCGAGGTGGGATACGGGTAAGGTTAGGGACAGGTTTGGTGGTATGGGTAGGTTTAAAGGTGGGTTAAGGTGTAAGGAATGGGTCAACAGTGTAATGACAGAAATTCATTACAGATGTAATTAGATATTATAGATATAATAGATATAGATATAGAAAATTAGATAGGTATTTTTAAAAATATAAGTACAGTGTGAAAACATGCATGTACACAATAAGTGCATTGTATCAAATGATTAATTTAAATGCAAGGGCATAGTAGTTAAGGAAACCTAATATAAAGTTGGATCAAATATGCTTTATACACAGAGGGGTCTGACAAAAATTGGTGATAAATTGCCTTTCAGTAAAAACAAATGAGTAAGTTTGGCATAACCAGTATGGCATCTTGTGTAAACCGCCTGTTGATGTCCAGAAAATTAGCAAAAAAAAAAACTTCCATGTATGACTGGATTGACTTCATGTAACTTATTAACTCAGTTGTCCCATTCAATTTGAACGGTGTATCTGACGGTTTACAATCTTCATGGCACTTACTGAGATCCTCTGAGAGCGGTGGGAACTCATAGATGTGCTCACAGGTGTTCTTGCTGCTCGGGATGCAGAAGCCAAACTCAAAGTCGAAGCTCTTCAGCAGCTGTTCACGGAAATAGTGCCTCTCGATCATCCGGAAGTTATTGATGGGGATGTCTCCTACTGTGAATTCAACACTAAAAACACAGAAACAAGGCAGGGAAGATATTCAGTTGACAGTTTTAGTTCTTCAGTATTCATTTCACTCTTCACTTGGGTTTGCTGTTAACTTACACCCTATTCATTTCCAACAACTGTTCAGCATTCCATTCCTCAATGTATTGTGTGAACCGGATTCATTATTTATAATGAGTAGCTTACTGCATCTACTTCTATATTCTGCCCTTTAGCATGACGACGAGATTCCTTCGACAGGTTTAATTTAGAAAAATGATTTATGCTCGCTTTGGTTTGATTATTATATCTGACCTCAATAAGCATGCAACTGTTGTTCTGGAATATGAGACAGCTCCACTAATGAATATCTGCTGTCTTTCCTTTCATGTGCTACTGTGCTTATTTTCTAAATATGTAATCTCTTTGCAAGAGAGGACGATATGATAAGACAGCAGGACTACAGTGATGATCTAATCATGCAAATGCTTAATAATAACCTGCATGGGCTCATTTTTAGTAAATCCAATTCAATCCAACATATATTACCATTCAAAAGCATGGGAGAGATAAGAGTTTTAACGTAAAGATGTCTCTTCCGCTCATCACAAACGCTGCATTTATTTGGGCAAAAATACAATAAAAAGAGTAATATTGTTAAACTTTAATATTTAAAATAACTATTTTCTGTTTCAATATGGTTTATATGTTTGTGGAAACTCTGAAACATTTTTTTAATCATTATTTTTTAGGATTCTGTAGTGTATACACTGACTAGTTTTATGAACTGTACTTACGTGGCTCCTACTTGCCGTAGCCGTAAAAAAGCTGGTGTAAACTGATAACGTACAAACCGGCCAGCATTTGGATCAACATCTCTTTTATCCCCTCCTTTATCTTAAAAAAACAAACAAACAAAAAAACATTACAATCAGAATCAAAATAGTAAAATAATTCATCATTGCAAGTGATGAGTCAAATGTCTTCCTGGGCTTCGCTTAAACTTATTAAAAGGACTAAAACAACAAAGCAGAGACAACAGACATTTCCATTCTTCCTGTTCCTCATTGAAGTTATGGACAGCTGTTTTCCACAGCAAATACACATCACGCACATTCAGTGCAGTTACTCCATGAATCACATCCCAGTTCAGTCCAGTACAATAGTTTATGTTCACACGGTGTTTCTGTTCATATTCAAGCACAGCCATGACAATACCGGAGCAGTTTAAGGACAGTTCCACCTAGTGGTCAGAAAATTATTACGGAGTGTCTATTTACACCAAGTACAAATAGCCCACCTTGTCAAGTAGATATAACTGCAGACCGGAGATCTCCAAAATGGGGCGGGGTCTCCTCGCACAAAGACTTTCACCATTGGCTCTGGCTCCAGCCAATTGTTATTGACTTACATTTCAAAATAAAATTTTATAAATTAAACATTGTTTCTAGTTCATCTAAAATAAAATATGCTATATAAGTAAATATTCCCTGTGAGAGCAGAGCCCAAAGCTCGTGGCCAGTGGTGTTCGGACTGGAGTTTGAAACTCCGCATAATTATATAAACGGGAATCACCCGCGAGCAGTCCCAGCGCAGCCCAGGGGAACGATTTTACTCTATCGCTTTGTTCTAAGCAACGGGGGCGTCCCGGGGCACCCGCGAGCCGTCCCAGCGCAGCGCAGGTTAACGATTTCACTCTATCGCTTTGTTCTAAGCACCCGGGGCTCAAAATTCGCAGGGTATGAATGGGGTAGTGATGCTGGGTGTAACTAAAAAGGTGCCATTGTCCGGTGAGGTCCGGTTGGGGAGTTACGGAACGATCTCATATCGCATAATCTTATTAACTGTTTATCTCCTGAACTGCAACTTTCTTTACCACGCTATTCAGCGCCAATCCCGCCGTGCAGTCAGTTTCGCTGGTTAAGGTTAGGGTCAGGTGTGGGGTAGGTTTTAAGGGTTAGCATTTTTTGTAGCATAGTGTAGGAAATCAACACTTTAATTGACACAACCAATAAATTCTTTAGAATCAGCTGTGGGGCGGAGTTTGCACTGAAGTGGATTGGGGGGAAAAATTGCTCATGCGTGTCAATGTGCCTGTCTGTCAATGGGAGGAAACCACGCCCTATTTTGGAGCTCCCACCCCGTTTTGGAGTTCCCGCCCCCATTTGGAGATCTCCAGGCTGCAGTTATACCCTTCTCACTATATACGGTGAAAAACTGTATTGGACATTAATTTTACGGTAGTATGCCGTTTTTGGAAGTGAAAAAGACCGTATAATTTACAGTGAATAACCGTAAATTAACATT